TGAATATTACAAGAAACCCGATGCTTAAACCTGTCTTGGAATACTAATTAAAAATGTTAGGAAGGCGATTTTATATATAAACTTGTTCTCTAATTCTAACCCTTACCCTTACTCTAACCTTATCGGTTGCACGCGGAAAATTTAGAGGAACTGAGTCACATGTTCACCAGGCTTTAGCCAACTCTCCAAAATAGGCAATGATGTTTCAAGTAAAGACAAATAAACATGATAATTCAAGTTCGCTACGAAGACTTCGAAGTTTTTTCACTAGCGATTTGGAATTTAATTTTTTTATTATTTAGTTTCCACAGATTCGAAATAAAAATTTAGGCGAAGCAGTACTGAAGACAATACTAAATGCTGCGCGTCGGAATACTTTTACTTTTCTACTACATATGTACTCATTATCATTACGTATATTATTATGTATCGATATTTATAGAATTGATTATTACATAGTGATCTGGTGATACTAATTTACTTTGAAAAATTACCAAGTTTAATTGTTAGAACGGGGAGAAAAAAATCCGATGGGTTCTTTAGGGGGTTTGTGAAAACATATTCCAAAAAATAAATAAATTCAAGGGGAAAGAAATATATTTTCCTTTTTGCCTCTTCTATTTTTATTATTGATTATATAACTTGCGAACAATTGAAATTAAAAAACGAGATCTAACAAGAAGATTCTGCTCTCCCACTATCATTTTCAGAGTGATACCTATTTAAGTATGATATTATTGAGCATTTTGGTATGGTATGGTTAGGGTTAAGTGTGAACTCAGAAGATAGTTTATAAATAATTTGATTTGATATAATTAAGCATTTTGGTATGTTTATTTTTCTACCATACCATATCAAAATGCTCAATCATACCATACCTAAATAGTGTATAATCTCATTTTCATCAGCTACGATGAAACCGCTAATAATAATACCTCTACTACTTCATCTAAAAATCAGACCCGTCAAACTGGCCTTTGGACAAAAAAAAAGTAAATTAATTATATATAAGTCAATTAACTTTAGAAAACAGAATAATTAAAATTCATATTTGTAATAGGAAGTTAATCTTTTATTAGAGTTGATTAAAACAATGTGTAAAAACATTTGGTATTAAGCACGGTCGACGCGATGGAAATCAATATCGAGAGAGGTATGCTAATTATTATATTCTCAATTTTCTTAAAATAAAAACATTAAGCATATATACATAGATGGGTAAATCATCAACAATCAAGAATCAAAAAAAAAATACTCTTTATGTTATATAATAATGGGCATTGATGTCTCGATTTTATCACTAGCAATGACAATAACATTATAATGGTAACGACAATGGTAATGACAATAATGATAATGACAATGATAATGATAATGAAGGAAAACAGCGATATCAATCCGAGATTACAATACTCCGAAAAAAGTGTAACGGTATACTATTTATACATCGATATTTAATAATTTTATTAGTAACGATAATCTTTGTAATAGAAGTTCAAGTTCGCTACGACGTCTTCGAAGTTGACCGATCTCGTCGTGGGGTATGTTCTTTATTAATATTATATTATTTAGTTCCACAGATTCGAAATAAAATGTCAGTTGGGGCAGCATTGAAGGCAGTAATAAATGCTGCGCGTCGGAATACTTTTACTTTTCTACTACATATGTACTCATTATCATTACGTTATTGGTTATATATAGTGTTGATTATTACATAGTGGTGGTGATACTAGATTGAAAAATTACCAAGTTTAATGGTGAGAATGGAAAGAAAAAAATCCGATGATTCTCTCTTAGGGAATTTGTGAAAACTTTTCCAAAAAGAAAAACAAATAAATTCAAGGGGAAAGAAATATACTTTCCTTTTGCCTCTTCTATTTTTATTATTGATTATATAACAATTGAAATTAAAAAAATGAGATCTAACACACGACAAGATTCTGCTCTCCAATTGTCAACAACATCTCATTCAACTATAATGAATACCGCTAGGGATAATACCTCTTCACCTAAAACCAAGAATCATCCGGATGAGAATAGAACCCGCCAAACTGGGCCTTGGTCAAAAGAAGTAAATTAATTATGTATAAATCAATTAACGAATTTAACTTTAGAAATCAGGATAATTAAAATGCACATCTGTAATAGGAAGATGATCTTTTATTAGCGTTGATTAAAACACTGGGTAACAAAAGTTGGAAAGCAATTGGTGAAGAGCACGGTCGGCGCGATGGAAAGCAATGTCGAGAGAGGTATATTATTAATCGTTATATTCTCAATTTTATTAAAATAAAGACATTAAGCATATCTATTTATAAAAATATAGATGGGTTAATCATTTGGACCATGATTGTAAGTATTCAACAATCAAGAACCAAAAAATATTCTTTATGTTAATATCATGCATATTATAATTATAGTAAATCTCGAACCGTTCACCGAAAAAGAGGATCAACACATATTACAATTCTACCAAAAACATGGATCAAAATGGGCATTAATGTCTCAAGAAATGAAAAAACCAGCAAACATGATAAAAAATCGATACTATTCTCATTTATCAAAACAATGCAATTTCAATGACCATGACAATGATAATAATAAACGACAGAAACGTCACTATGACAAGTCTACTTCCTCTCGTCTGTCGAAGTACAATGACAATGATAATACTTCCTCTCCTCTGTCGAAGCTTGCAGATCTTGCCGTGAGGTATGTTCTTTATTACCAGTTTTAATTGTCACTAGCGGTTTTAAAATTGATTTTTTTATTATTCAGTTTCCACAGATCCGAAGCTAAAATGTCAGTCGAGGCAGTACTGAATCATCCTTAAATTTTGATTATTTTATAATTATAAATTCTTTTGTTACATTAGCATATTTATAGACAAGGGGTAAAAAAATCTGACGCGTTTTTCTTTAGAATGGGGAAGAGAGTTATGAGAACTTATTCCAAAAAAAAATAAATAAATCAAATTTATATGAGAAGAAATATATTTTCGTTTTCCTCTCTAGTTTTTATTGTTATTTATATGAACAATTAAAATCCAAAGATATTTAAATCTCGATATGACGACTCTACTTGCAAATTTTGCGTTGAGGTATGTTCTTTATTAATTTTCACTCGCGGTTAATTTATTTCCACACAAAAATCGCCTCGTGTTGAATTTTTCGTTTCTCATTTGTAATATTAAAGCTTGTATTAATTGATAACATTGAGGTATTGAATACGCAATTTATTTTCATTGTAAGTCTCCCAAATTCCATATTTTTGATTTTTCAAAAAGATGTATTAGTGTAATGGATTATTCTTGTCTAAATCCAATGTTTATGTTTTCGAAATTATTGATGTTTGCCTAAAATTTGTTTTATTTTTTACCTAGATTTCTATATTTTACTGGAATTTACTATTTCTTATTACATTTATTTATTCAATATGAAATTGACTTTATGTTAATTTTGCCTAAAATTCCGAATTTTATTTTGTAATCCCGATAGCTGTATATATAACTGAATTTAGGCCAAATTAATCCGATTTGGCTCACATTTTGTGGTTCACGATTAACCTATTGGATCAAAATTCGCAGTTTTCTGAAGTTACACCTTTGAATTCACGTGTTTTATTTAATTCTTAATGATTTTTGAGAATATGCGATTCTAAATTTACACATTGCAATGTTTTATACTGTAACAGAATCCTCTATAACCTGTAGACTAATTAAAGATACAGCACCAATATATTACCCAATACTAAACAGCAAGCTATGTATATGTAATCAACAACAGATGCTTAATGTTCATATCGATAATCATCATTATAGCTATCTCTTCTATCATCACGACGACTTCTTCTAGATCCTCTTCGGTCTCGATCGCGAGATCGATCAAGGGATCTGTCCCTGGATCTTTCTCTGTGTCTGTCTTCTGAAGCTGTCCTTGAGAGACTTTTCTCTTCGCTTCGATCACGTTTAGAACGTCGTTGCTCTCGTAAATAAACGCGTTGTGCGGCAAATAATTCCTTTTTCAAACGACGCGAGACTTCCTTCAAGTGCATAAAATTACAGAAGCCACCACGCGTACATTCGGCATTCTCATTTTGCCGACAACATGCCTCACGAAAATCTGTAACAGGCGATAGTTCGGCATAGATTGGTCTGCCTAAAATTATATTAATATGTACAAGTAAATGGTAAGAAATAAACTTGTTGTTTTGGATCAATCTGATTTTGATTTGAGACAATAAACTTCACATACCAGCATAAAATCTTTGGTTTAAATTGTCAACAGCTCTCTGAGCATCTTCTTCGTACCGAAATCGCGCATAAACATTTCCAATTAAGTGATCACCGACGTTATCACATACATGCATCTCTTCAACTTCGCCGTATTTGCATAGCTCAGTAAAAAAGTCTTCGTAAAAGTCATCAAAATGTGATTGGATTTCATCTTCAGTCATTGTGCAGTTAGTATCATGTGCTGGGTTTTGATAAATGTTTGAGCAGAGTATGGTTTGAGAGAAGGTTGGTTTAACGTGTTTTCGACTACAGCGATCACCATGACGGCAAGCTCCAATTTTGAAGTAAAAAGAACAGTTTACTCTGAAAACAGGTTATAATTAGTATCGTTTTCAGTATAAGTTTTAGCAGAGCTTTATATTCGACTCACTTGTCTTTCTCAGTGCCATAAATCGAGGCCAAGTATTCTGCCATCTTGTTTTAGAGATAAATTTCAATGGGATCCACCTTTATTTTATTTTGATTACGTCATAACATTCACCTGCCAATCAATTGAAATTTAGCTATATCGATTCGATATATGTACTGACTAAACTATTTTGCGGTCTAACCTCCGGAAAAAAACAACTTCAAAGCCTCAAAGAAAAATTACACCGATTCTATGCAGTCTCTGCAGAACAAGAAATAACGTGAGAAAAATATATTGACCACATTTGTAACAATATTTATTTGTAGCAAATTGTTGTTTTAATAATTTTAAGCTATAATTCAACCATTTTGATATTATGTTAATTACTGAGGTATTCAGACGGGACATGCAGCTGATCTATCTAACAAATGAGGCCCTTCCTCAATTACTTCGGACCCGGTAAAATGCTATAAAAAATTGATTTATAATAAAATAAATAAAAAGTTGTCGAAACGATTCGTCATCGAATGATGGTGGTGGTGGCTCTTTACTGTCGCCAGCCGCTGATGATGGTGGTGGTGATGAACCTCTACTGTCGCGCTGACGATATGAATTTCATTAATCGAATTCGGTCTTCTATTATAGCTTTTCTAGGAAGCATATATGTCTATTTTTAAGTTTTGTAATTTTTCCAGAAAAATACTAATATAAATAGTTAATCAAGTGTCAGTTTCACGGGCATTAGCATTAATTCCCAGAAAATATCCCGCCATAAATCCTTAATACATAAAAATCGTTAAAAAAACTAATCAAGAAGAAAAATTTAAATTAGGGGCAGAGTTTATAAAAAGAGTAAAAGAAACTTGTTAAAATATTGACTGCTGCGAAAGAAAGCTAAGAAAAAGATATATCAGCATCGCGGGAGATAACTAATGCTTCTACTTTATTCCTAAATCGATATGATTTACTAAAAAAGAAAAATATGTGTGATCGAATCATTTCATTTACAACAAATCATTATAAATCTTTAAGATACATACAGTTCCTCGATTCGGAATAAAAATGATAATTATGTGAAGAGCATCAAAGGGCCCTTCCCTTTTGACGGTTATTATCACCATTTCTTCGCGTCATCATTTCTATGATGTGCTGCATACAATTATATTTTCGCACGATAATTTGAGATCACCTATGATCACGTCTTTTATATATTCTGTGGAGACTTCTAAGTCTATTTCCTCGTTAACACCGTCTCTTTCTATAATATGTGCTTTTAGTTGCTCTGGAACAGTGTCGACTAAGATTAAAATTTGGTAATAGAGTAAATGTCCATTTACAAAAGCCTTATTGTTGCGATTACACGTTAGACACAGCCATTATTATAGTTGACACAGCCATTATAATTGATACTTGGCCATTATCCCCCAAAAAAGTCAAATGACCAATGTCCCAACGAAGATCACAACGTATAATGCAGGCTAGAATAGTAACATAAATTAATGATGTTACTATTTTGTTTATTAAGAAATCGATGTCTAGTTAGCGCGTATTAAGATGCGCAAATATGAAGGCAAAATCAAAGATGCTATGCAAATGAATAGATTAAATAATTTCGACACTCTATTTTCCAACTAATCTTTAATCACTTGAATATCCTCGTCCATGATCTCTGTTCCTATCATCTCCCCCTCCCAATCCCAAGGTACTCGAGGTCAGCAGTGTTTGTTTGCGCTCCTCAGCACGAAGTTTCTCTTCGGTATCTCTATCTTTTCTCTTTTTCTCAAGATTTTCGATTTCTTGTTCGTGCACCCGCGTAAGATGTGCGATTGCCAAGGTTTCAATAATTGAAAGGGCAAAGTATGTTAACATCAAATTGAAAAAGGTATTCCAAGCTAGTGATATATAACTAGGATTGGCCTAAATTGCAACAATTATTTCCGTAAGCATTATATTTAACAAAGGTTCTATAGGATAGATCAAAACATACCGGCCCATCATCAGGAGCGCTTACTCCTTCCTTACGCTGCAAAATTCTAGTTTGTTGGAGCACTGCAGCAGCGAGTTTATCGTGAACGTACGGAAGATAACTTTTCGTGGTATCGAGTATAGTAGTTAAAGTGTCTTGTGAGAAAACTAATATCACAGTGACTGTCTGAATATAAAATCGATATTTGTTTCTCGATCAATAAATGACAAGATGATTGGCAAAAAAGAAAAAAATTAATAATTCATGGGATTACCTGTATTGAGGATTTAACAACCGCTTTGCCAAGGAATGTGGCACCAAAAAATGTCGAGAATGGCACTAAAAATTGTCCACACATTATACCTGCCAAATCAAACAAAGGATTGGGAATCTAAGCGAAAAATGAATGACATAATTAGAAATTATGCAATCAATCCTTTTAAAAAGAATCGCCGATACCAACCGAAGCAAAGAGAAATATTCCCCAGAAACCTAAACGCTGCATAATCCGATTAACATATAATAAGATGCGTTCTTTGAGTGAGGTTTTATCTGGTGATTGTTCCATTAGCCTATCAATGGTCGCCAACTCTTCACTTCGACTTCCCGATAATGCAGCTAATATTAACACAATTCTCAATTATATTAAAGACTGAAAACCGATCAAGTAAAATTGATTCCATTCAATTACCGGCTCTTGCAACAAAATATGGCGGCAATTCACCGATTGCCGTGCCAAGACCCCAAAAGAATGACTCCCATTGTACTTTCCGGAAGATGCTGAATAAAGATACAGAGGTAGACACTGCATTCGTAGAATTACATCGGAATCTTTTAGAAATTGAATTTATCAAAGCTTAGCGTTTGTTCGTGATTAGGGATTAGGAAGAAAACTTTGGAACTACACATACATACCTATCAGGACCTCTTGTTTCAAAATCGAAATTTCCGCATTCATAAGCGACCCATGTTACTTCAGCGATATACGGGCCCAGGAATAACACGAATGTATGTAGACCAGTTCCTAAGCCAACCGAAGATGCGATTCCTAATCCTATCCAGTAAAAATACCACAATATTAAAGATTGGGTATTGCGTATAACCTAAATAGTAGAAGATTCAATAAAGTGAATGCGGCTCTAAATAAAGATCATTCATGAAATAAAATGATGAAATGTACTTGTTGATGTGATCCTTCCACCATTAACGCAATTCTTAATAAAAAAAGAACAGCTGGTATAGGTGTTAGAATCCATTTTCGTGATCTCGCGTAATCAAAAGCTGATTTGATTTTATAAAACATGTAAGCCAAAAAATATGTCGATACTAAGACTGGCGAGGTATATAATGACACGGTCGACCGTTCTTTTTCCAGTAAATTACGGCGTCTCCTAATAAAATCTACGAGTGAGAAATAAATCAGGCTCAGATCCCAAGCTTTTTGTGGATCGAAATAAGTGAATCATATACACTTTAATCCATACCGTCAAAGCTTTCTTCTCTCACATTTGCTCTTCGAAACATCCTCCGTGAAACAAGCCTTCCATCGTCTGACGTACCACCTTCACTTGCCGAATCCTCAGCATATAAAGAATCAACACTATTTGATCGGCCCCTATTTCGATGCCTGGCTCTTCTAGTGGCTGCATAATCACCAATCGGTCCAGGTGACTCGTCAATTTGTATGACGGGAACTGGTCTGTTTTAAAAAACAAAGGGAATGTTGAGCAGCATATAGAGAAAAATAGACTTTGCCCTAAGTTAAGAATCGCATGCATACCCAATGTTATTTATAGGGGTTGTTGAGACTTCAGTTTCCATTATATATGACTTAGCATGCAGCTTTCAAAGATTAAAATTCAATAAACGGCAAAAGTAGAAATAGAAACCCCATATATATAATTGTAGCAGTTAATCTCCAATATACTCGACACGTGTCAAATTAAATGGTTCACAATATTTCGCGTCCAATCGATTGCTGCCACAATATATATATAACAGCCGAGATTAAGATTTGATCTTCGGACAATTTGTTCAGAAAAATCTGATTGGTAGATCCGAATTTGCGTAGTCAACTGTTGGACATTTATTATAAGGAAATTATATATCCCGTCCAAATTTGGTCCTCTTTATCGAGTTTAGGAAATGACCAAAATCGATTTCGTTTAAATGCTAGCATTTTCTCGTAATAAGATAATTGTCGAAATTAAAAATGTTAATAAAAACGTGGAATGTATCGATGTCATTTCATCGACGTCATCATTTTGACTGAAATAAAAATTATCAAAAGACAAAAATTAAAATATTTATTTTTCATTAACATTGCTAGCAATCCAAGACTCGAGCATATCTAAACTAACATCACCAGCTGTAGAAACCGTATCAGCAACCAGATCATACCCGGCTCTCTTATTCTCATCCAAAAATGCATGATTATTAATGACGGCCAGTCTAAGAGGTGATGCCTTTTCATGAATTCGGCCGCTGAAGAGCCGAATATGTTCATGATCCATACCGTTTATTAGCGAATTATACATTTCAATAAAGGTGTCCAATTTTTGGAATGAGCTGCTGCTGCCAAAGCGGTCAATTTTTGCGAATGATATACGCTTCTTTTTAAAAATTTTGCGGGGCCATATATGATTATAATTATAGGAGAATTAGTGATTAATTATTATGAGTCAATTTCTTCCAGGTTCTTTTGTCCGAAGAATCTCCAAACTCGGGAGGCAACGGGTATTTTTGATAAGTGGCGCGTTAGGACAAACCTATACATGTATGGTGGTGAGAGATGAATACGAAGAGGGTGACGTGAGTGGAAATTACTAAAAAACATAAGTGAAAAAAGTAGATGCATATTTACGAAGCTGTTCCATTGCATAAGGAAGCCGCATTAAAATGGCTTGTAGGAAACGATGCTTTAATGAAAATATTGAAATGTCCTAATGCGATAATAAAAATGATGTCTCGATTTTTTTGCAACATGTCTTGGGTTTCGTCCTAGCTCACAGGACTCATCAGTTGGCTTTTTGCGAAAATTTCGCATTCGAGCAATGCCAAGACCCGAGAAATCCATTAGGTATTTCTGGAGTCAATAAAAAAAAATCACAATCAACGCAATAAAAAAATACACTTTTCTCTTTCGCTCCGTGTGTTCGTTCCAGCGCTTTCTCCACCAGACCTTTCGTAGTGTTGTTCAGACCGGTTGCTTTGCGAAAATCCATCTGTCGCGAAAAGAAAGCGAAGCGAAGCAAACCAAAATGAAGTAACAAAGCATTCATTTAATTTATTTAGTTTAATACTTAATACCTTTCCTCAAAATCTCCGAAGATCCCTGCGCCTTCTCCATCAGACCTTTCGTAGTGTTGTTCAGACCGGTTGCTTTGCGAAAATCCATCTGTCGCGAAAAGAAAGCGAAGCGAAGCA